TTAGCATAGAACATACGGTTACATCTAGCCATTTCCAGTGTAGAATGATGAGACCTAACTGCCAATCTAGTGATGCGTTTCGATTCGTAAACACGAAATGCCACATAGGAAAGCGATATTTATTTGTAATTATTTATAAAATGTGTTTCAAGCCCAAAATGGGAAATATGGACTCTTAGCTTATAAATGTTTAAAATAGATTCTGGTACAAGACAGTGACCCAATAAACGATTCGATATAATCTTTTCCAGATCATGTCAGCAGAAAACGTTAATCGCAAAGAGTCGCGATGAGGCCGAGAAGGAGCTATGAGGCGGAAGATAGTAAGGCGGGTCCTCTTTACGTCCTGCACAGTTCTGAATTCGGAGTTTTCCTTCTCCCAGACTGGTTGTCATATAAGGCACGAGAGCTCAGTCTATTCTGCTATTGAACTCATAACTCCATTAAAGATGGCCCCATGCCCTTGCCAATTGTAAGCAACAGTCTAAGCCAAAATTTGGGATCGACTCGGCAATTTCATTATTCATAGCGATAATCAATGCACGATACTGAATAGAAAGTATAAGGTCCGTCAATAAGTTCGTAGCCTGATAAATATCTGGACACTACCATATGCGCTAATCAACGGTTCTTTATACATACGCAAATTCTTTCTACAGACATGTTGGTGATTATATATGCGTTCATGAGGGCGTAGCTTTTTCAGAACAATAATTTTAACTCTTCGCGTTGTTCTCAAACAAAGCACACACACTGGTCTGCAATCCGTAACCTTTTCATTTCGACTGAATCTGACCTGAGGTAAAATCACTGATGTCATTGTCGCCCGAGGGTAAAACTGGCCTCGATGCTCTAAAGGGACTCAGTAAATTGACGCACTAATAATTAAATTGCTCGCAAAAGGTCATTGCATATACGGCAAAGCATAACCTATTGATGCCAAAGGGGTCAGCGTATGTTTGTTACAACAGACATGAAGATATAGGCCGTGAGAGCAAGGCATAAACAGCCTCAGTAAATGGCTAAGGGTCGCTAACTTCTCAACAGGTAGCTTACAAGTTTTTGACGGGTGGCTAGCGTCGAGATTCATTAACGATGTTCAACATTTGAATTGATTCGAGAACAGAGAATAGTTCAATAAATAAAAGTATCTATTTAGCTATCGATCTACCTATTCCTTTCTATTAATATCTATCTATCTATCTATCTATCTATCTATCTATCTATCTATCTATCTATCTATCTAGTCTCTTCATCTATCTATCTATCTATCTATCTATCTATCTATCTATATCTATCTGTCTATCTATCTATCTAGTACTCAGTGAGGATCTCAGTGGTAATATCAGACGGACTATCTATCTATCTATCTATCCATCTATCTATCTATCTATCTATCTATCTATCTATCTATCTATCTCAGTCTCTTCATCTATCTATCTATCTATCTATCTATCTATGGCAATGTCAGTTCATATCTATCTGTCTATCTATCTATCTAGTACTCAGTGAGGATCGAAGCCGTTACTCAGTGGTAATATCAGACCGGACTATCTATCTATCTATCTATCTATCTATCTATCTATCTATCTATCTATCTATGTCAGTGTCAGTTCATATCTATCTATCTATCTATCTATCTATCTAGTACTCAGTGAGGATCGAAGCCGTTACTCAGTGGTAACATCAGACAGGACTATCTATCTATCTATCTATTCTCACTCTGTTCATTATCTATCTATCTATCTATCTATCTATCTATCTATCTATCTATCTATCTATCTATCTATCAGTGAGGATTGAAGCCGTTCTCAGTAACTAGGACTATCTATCTATCTATCTAATTCCATTCTAATCTATCTATCTATATCTATCCATCTATCTGTCATTCTCCATTTAATAACAATCTATTCATTCTGTTAATAACAATCTATTCATTTTTGTTCAGATTATCTATTTTGTTTATATCTCTCTATCTCTCTTTCTCTCCCCTTCTCTCTCTCTCTCTCTCTATATATATATATATATATATATATATATATATATATATATTCCATTCTACTCATATCTAATCTATATATTCCATTTTGTTCATGTCCATATATCTATTCCTTTCTATTAATATCTATTCATTTCTGTTCATATATATATGAACAAAAATGGCTTCTTACTACATCCACCATAATACCTTTAGTTCTGCGTTTCGATTCGTAAACACGATATATATATGTTCATCTATCTCAGTCTGTTTATATGTCTATCTCTTCTTTTCTGTTTATATCTTATCTCTCTGCCTTCTGCAGGATTCGATGGGTAAATTGTCGCCATTTTATATTTTTAATTTTGCGCATGCGCTTTGTTTGTTTTTAATTTTGTCGACTGTGCAGTATAGTAGAGTCAGTTGGGCACCGTCTGCGAGAAAAGGAACACCCTGACGCAATTCACTCTACCAGAAATTTGGAAAAAATCATGCTGTACTGCCTAGCATTCACGCCGGTAG